AATTCATTCCTTGATTTAAATTTACCTTTATTAGCTAGTATTGATCCTATTTCTCCTATTGTTAATAAGTATAATATTGATAACAAAGAAATTAACTTTAACATATGGACTAAAATATATTTTGATGATGTTCAATTAAGTATCTTAATTAAGGAAATAGAAACTTATTTTAAATCAGAAGTTTCTATGATATCAGTTGATAATAGAATTGTTTATTGGGACATGGTTAAGAAATATGATGATTATAAACTTAAGAAATTAAGTGAAATTATTGATTGTGTTAATGGACAGAAGTACATTAGCTTGACTGTTATATTTGATGATGAAATTGAAAGAGAAAATATTGTCATTAAACTTTAATAAACTGAATTAGTAATTGTTGATAAAAATATTTTATTAAAATGTATGAGTGAATGCCTAACACAAAAGTTTTTATGAAAGACATTCACTCTTTAGAAAAGTGTGTAGCTGAATTATGAATTCGACTTTAGCTCAAAAGTTAAATTCACTTCATATATATAAGTAGGTATATATGGAACGTGTATAAATACAGGCCTATGTGTACCTCATTCTACTTTATACAATCTACCTATTGTGATATTTATAATTTTATCTCACACTAAGTAAGTAAAATTTAAACCAATTAAGTAAATAAATGTATAAGTGATGAATTGAGCTTGTACTATCCTTACATATTTATAGTTGTTCATACTTAAATATAAACTACTTATATACTACACACATTTCTACAAACAGGTCTTAGTAAGACATGGTATTATTTCACATAATACTTAAGGGTATTTATAAATTTATTTTTGTATTAATAGCATAATTTGTTTGTTAAAAGAAACAAATTAATATAAAATAATAAAATAAGTTTATTCTATCATACGACTAATCAAATTACCAAGCATACCTCTGTTATTTCCAGTATTACCACCTTTTAAAATATTAAGCTTCTTCTTACCTGAAAATCCACCCAATGGACAGTTTAACTTGAAAGGACTCAAAAATCTTAAAATTTTAGTTTGATCCTCAGCATCTGAGAAAATACCAAAACATAATTCTTCAATACATCTGTATTTACCATTAAATGCTTGTTCAATTTCTTCATTAGTTAATTTAATCTTAATTTTAGTTCCACAAGCCTTTCTTTTAATACCACATCCTCTCTTATAAATTAACTTTCTCATCAACTCGTAATTAATAGTTCCATAAGCAATATAAGAAGCAGCTGTCTTTAAAAGATTTCTATTACAAAGATTGTTCTTTATAATTACACACTCATTAATATGTTTAAGTCTTAATAGTTCAAGACACTTCTTTGGTTTTGGTGGTACACCATTAGTTGATCTTATAAGAACAGCAACTAAATAGTTTGGTTCTGCTTCTAATACAATAGTTGAAGGATCATTGTGTACTTCTACTTTCATCATACTCTTAACCTTCTCAATAATTTGTGGAACAACAGTCTTCTCATACTGAAGATTATTTGCAATTCTTTGGTTGAGATTATCTTCTTGTTCCTTCTTAATTGTTTTCATTTTCTGTTCGTATTCCTGTCTAATTTGACTAGATACTGGTTCCATCATTTGAATTTTGGGGTGAAAAAATTTTATTTAAAAATTTTATAATTAATTCTTAATTTTCAAATATCGAGCCTTAACTTCTTCTTTCAAATAACTAATAAAATCCTTGTTATCAATTTTAAAATAGTCATTCTTAAAGATAGAATCATCAATAGTCTCTTTAAAATTTAAATTATAAATATTCCCAATACTACCCCCATCAAATTTTATCTCG